GATAAAGATGATGTACAGAAGGGTTACGGTTTCACAGGTCAGGTAATGAGTTCCTTTCTTTTTGGACAGCGTTTAACCTTTCCATGGCTCTATCCCAGTTTTTCCCTCCTGTCCAAAAATTCTAAATTAACCATACCATATTTATTTAACCACTCAGCTGTAAGTCGGCCTTTGGAAATCACGGTTTATCACTTTTCTTAAAGAAAACAAATGGAGCATCACAAACTCATTTTCCCACAAACTGGGGAGATGGGTGGAGCCTGGGTGCAGTCACCCAGGGTCAGGCCAGCATCCTTGGGGAGCAGAGACACCAGATCAGGTAGAAAATGAAGACAGTGTGTCAAATGAAGAATAAAGAGCTTTAAAAGTTAACATGGTTGCTTCTCGTGTTGGCAGGCCTGAGCAATTGCAGCCCAGAAAGCGTGTTGTAGATCACAGGGCCCAAGAGGCCCCTGGCAGGCCCACACAAGGCGGTCACCCCAGGGAGGGCTCACACTGACGCCCCCCAGGCGTCCAGCATTGCCCTCCAGGGCACCGGACACCTGTGGGCCAAGGGACGTAGGAGATGAGGCACCGCCCTAGCCTGGCAGAGGGAGGAGATCTGGGCAAGGCCAAGGGAGCACTTTGATTTACAGCTTGGGTCACTGCACGCGGCTGTAGTCTCGGCCCTGACCCCTCCTCAGGCCCACATTTGAGCCATGAGAGGTGTGGCCTGGTCCCTTGGGGGAGGCAGAGACCCCCCTCATCTTCTGAGTGTTCTCAGGGTAGACAAGCTAGACTTAGCAAACACAAGTACGGGTGCCCAGGTACATTTGAACTTCAGGGAACAATAGACATGCGTGATGTGAACACCCTAAAACCATTCTTGGTGCCCCCAAGACACAGCATAACGGGAGGCCGTGCAGCCTGACTGACCCTGGGCCTTCTCGAGAGGCGCGGGAAAGCTGCTGCCCCGAGAGAGGCGGTGTGGGAAAGCCGCTGCCCCGAGAGAGGCGGCGTGGGAAAGCCGCTGCCCCGAGACAGGCGGCGTGGGAAAGCCGCTGCCCCGAGACAGGCGGCGTGGGAAAGGCCCTGCCCCGAGACAGGCGGCGTGGGAAAGCCCCTGCCCCGAGACAGGCGGCGTGGGAAAGCCCCTGCCCCGAGACAGGCGGCGTGGGAAAGCCCCTGCCCCGAGACTGGCACGTACATCATGGAATCCTAGAGCAGCTTGGGATGGAAGGCCAGGTTTCCAAACTCTGTCTGCAAGGTTGGATTTTCTGTGCAAACATCAACTGACACCTTTAAGGCATCTTTAGTCTAAAGCTTTATTAAACACCAATGATAGTGCAAAGGATTTAGAGCTGGGTGAATGTGGAATTTAGATGTAAAACATGTTATGTAAAATATAATTATGTCACTTTTCAAGTGAATGATGTTCAAATTTAACTGAAGACAGATATAATCTCATCTCGAAGCTGTCAGACATTTAAATAAGAAGCAGTCTGCTTTTTCACTTCCAGTACTTTAAAATTTTTAGTCCACAGACATGTTACTTCTAGACATAACTGAATGTTGTTTTGGAGTAAAATTCTCCTAAGAGAAGCCAGGCTGGGGACCGGAGGGTGATGGGGTGGTAGGAGCTAGCAGTAAGGAAGACCATGGCACACATCCCACAGGAAGGGAGACCCTATCTCAAAAATACCCAGTGCAGCCAGGCGCCAGTGGCTCACACCTTTATTCCTAGTTACTCAGGAGGCTGAGGTTGAGGATTGCAGTTTGGAGCCACCCAGGCAGGAAAGTCCGTGAGACTCTCATCTCTAATAATCTACTTAGAAAACACTGGAAGTGGTGCTGTGGTTCACGTGGTAGAGCGCTAGCCTTGAGCACAAAGAGGCTCAGAGACAGCACCCAGGTCCTGAGTTCAAACCCCAGAACCAGCAAAAAATAACAATGCACAAAAGGGCTGGAGGTGTGGTTCAGTGGTAGACTGCCTGCCTAGTGACCGTGAGGCCCTGAGTTCAAATCCAAGGGCCACAAAGGAAAGGATTCTTTTGGAAGCATGTGAACGCACTGTGGTGACCTTAACTTGATCTGAAGCTGGGGTCTGGGTGGGGAGGGATCCGGGAGCACGTGGCAGGGCGTGGCAGGGCCGACATGGACTGTGGCTGCCACTGTGTCTGGGAGAGGCGCCACCCTCCCTGGGCCTTGGCTTTTCCACTCAGCCTGGTTTCGATGACATTGAAGTGCCGATGACATTCTGCAGACTTTAGGGGCAGGTTCTGCTGAGACTCACTCCTTCATCCAAAATAGAATTAGGAGCATTCCTGTGCCGCCGGTTCTGATTAGCGCTGCGGCTGGCTGCAGGCGGTGTGCAGCTGTGGCTGAGCAGAGAGGAAGCCCGCATCAAGGCTCACCAGTGCCATTGTCCTAGCCAGCCCGATGAGCCCTTAACTCAAGCAGCCTTCAATCCTGTCGTTAGAGCAGCAGCCAGAATGTAGACTGGATGCACTTTCCTTAGAGTAAGCTTCTAGAGAATGCGAGAAGGTGGAAAGAGGGCCGGGGAACACAGAATTTGGTGGAAGACAAGGCAATCAGAGCTCCAGTGTCTGTGCCAGCTTCCAGTCCACTGCAACGGTACAACGGCCAGCACACGAACTGCACGGGGCAGTGACGGGACAGGAAGCCCCCGCGTGGGGCAGTGACGGGACAGGAAGTTCCCGTGTGGGGCAGTGACGGGACAGGAAGTTCCCACGTGGGGCAGTGACGGGACAGGAAGTTCCCCCGCGTGGGGCAGTGACGGGACAGGAAGTTCCCCCGCGTGGGGCAGTGACGGGACAGGAAGTTCCCCCGCGTGGGGCAGTGACGGGACAGGAAGTTCCCCCGCGTGGGGCAGTGACGGGACAGGAAGTTCCCGTGTGGGGCAGTGACGGGACAGGAAGTTCCCGTGTGGGGCAGTGACCGGACAGGAAGCCCCCGCGTGGGGCAGTGACCAGGACACCCTGCTCACTATCTTTCCAAATGCGCCTGGTCAGGGAAGCCACCAAGAAGCAGGAAACAGACCCGCTGAGCTGTAATGGTCAGCTTCCTGTTGCTGTGTCCAAATTCCGGAGAGAGTGCGAAGAGGGAGGCTTTGTTCTGGCTCCGTGTCAGGGTTTTCCGCCTGTGGCCAGCTGCTCCACTGCCATGGGTCTGGAACCAGGCAGCGTGTGCAGCAGGGAGTGCGGGGAGGGAGAGTTGGGGAGAGGGGAGAGGGGAGGGCACCGGGAGGGAGGGCGCTGAGCCGTGAGGATGTCAGAGTCCTGCCCAGGTCACACACCTGAACGCTGACGTGCTGAGGACAGGCCTCCGGCGGTCAGCATGGCCCTGTCACGTCTACACCGCCCCAGGGTGTGGCGTCTGCTGCCCGGGCCGTCCCAGCGTCCTGAGGAGGGAAAGGCCACACGGGCCCCTCGCAGGCCCCCTCGGGTGTCCGCCCCTCCGGCTCCGCGCTGCTGGGTTTGAACAACAGGAAGTAGAGGGTGAGCGGAGGCCTCTGAGGCAAGGGCAGGACTCAAGGACCGCCCCCCACAGTCCACTCCTGAGGCCGCACGGCATGTACTTCACGTGGTGGCTGGGGGTCCCCGTAACACAAGCAGAGCAGATTCAGGCGTAGAAGGGGCTCGGGTCCCCGGCATCGCTGCCCTGGCCAAGTTCATGTCGTGCACCAGCCCGCCCCTCTCCCCTCAGCTCCGCCAAAGAGACGCGGGCAGGGCACGGGGGACTGAGTGCTCACTCTCCACAGCGTCAGCCTGAGCGGGCCTCTCGCCTGAGACGTGACCACGGCTCTGGAGAGCAGCTGCTAGAAACACTGGGTGGGAGGGCGCAGCCTAGCCTTCAAAGTGAGCATGCCAAATGCACACGGAGCAAGCTCCCTGGCCTCCGGTGGTGCCAGGCAGGCCTCCACGGCAGGCCTCCAGTGCAGCCTCCTTCCACCCACGCTGTAGCGTCTCCGCTGCAAGGCTCTGCCTCCCTTGAGCCTCTTGCCAGGCTGGCACCAACTCCATCCGGCCCTAAGTTCGGTAGCGGGTCATTTCTACACGTAAACCCGGGCTGGCCCGGCGTGGGGAGCACCGGGCGTGTTCCGCCCGCGAGGCTCACGCTGTCTCTGCGCAGCCTTGCCCCCTGCGTGCTCTGTCCACGCCCTCAGCAGTGTTGTCGCCTGAGCACCTGTGGTTGGAGCAGTGTACATGAGCTCAGGTTCCTGGGCGCTGCTGGTACCTGGTGTGCGCACGTGTTTTGGCTGAGGGAATGATGGTTTGGTCTGCCCTGGGTTCCATCCTGTGTCCAGGGAGCCGTGTGGCAGGGGTCACTTTGTCCCCACTGCCCGAAGATCTCCAGGCAGAGAGGAACACGCTCGCCAGCCCTGCGCTGGGCCCATCACAAACCTCCCTGGGCCCAGCTCCCCGGGGTGGCTGGATAATAGCACCTCTGTGCTCCAGCCCTGTCAGAGCAGTGCCAGTGCCACACCTGGCCGCCAGGCAGCAGCGCCTGCCATGCTGGGCTCAGGATGAACGCCGGTCAGGAGCCCAGGGACCTGAGCAGCCTCCCCGCAGCAGGTGCCGGGGCAGAGGCCGTGGGACACACGTGTGTGGGTCACGGAGAGGCAAGGCACAGAGCACAGTCCTGCTTTCCCGACACAGAGAGCCAGACAGACAGGCTGGGCCGGCACACACCGGCCGAGTGCTTAGACACCATGGTCTAAGGCTCCCAAAGCTAACCTGGGAGCAGAGCTCGCCGGCAGTGCCACACCCCCCGGAGCGGAGGTCACTGCCGTGCACCCAAGCTGGTGCCCGGATGGAGACCAGCCTGTCTGGAGTCGCTCAGGTCATGGGCACATGACCTGAGCGTTCTCTGCAGTGACACTGGAATGGAGGCAGAAGCGTCTGGGGTCAGGACTGCGCCCACAGTGTGCCCGGCCTGGGTGGTGTCCTCCACTGCTGCACACGGCCCATACTAAGAATGACTTTGTTTCTGTCTTGCAGAGGAAGAAGGCGGAGATTTGGCCCAGCCGGGCCTCGGCTTCGAGGGGCCGGCCGACGAGGACCTAGGTAGAGTATGCCTGGCATGGGTCTCAGGGCCCAGCCTCCAGTCCCACGGCTGAGCACGCGCATGACTGGGTGGCCTGAGAAAAACGAAGTCACCCGGGCCATGTTTGCCCAAGGATGACGTTGAAGTGCTTTGGGAAGCTCTGATGACCAAAGCACACCCCTCGCTCCCGAGGCAGCGCTCCTGCTGGTCTGCAGGTCCTCAGGCCGCCGCTCCTCCACCGCCCCCAGGGATCGTGCTCAGCCGCCCTGAGGGCGCAGGGGGGAGGGGAGGGGCCTGAGGGCGCAGGGGGGAGGGGAGGGGCCTGAGGGTGCAGGGGGGAGGGGAGGGACCTGAGGGTGCAGGGGGGAGGGGAGGGGCCTGAGGGTGCAGGGGGGAGGGGAGGGGCCTGAGGGTGCAGCGGGGAGGGGAGGGGCCTGAGGGCGCAGGGGGGAGGGGAGGGGCCCTTCCACAATGCCCCCCATACCTGCCCCCACCCCGTCCCGCTCTCGGACCTGGGGCTGGGCCACCACGGGCTCTCCCACCCATGGAGGCTGGGTGACTGTCACAGCACCTCCTCCATGCAGCTGGTGTCTGTGGGTGTCAGTCTTAGGCAGCCACGGACAGGACATACACAGGGGCTGGTGTCATCGGACGTAGTGTCATCGGTCTGCTGACATAAAGGAGGGCAGCCAGAGCGAAGTGCCAGACAGATCGCCGTGGAGCGGAGGCTCTGTGCGCACACCGTGTCTTCATGAGCCTGAAGGGCCTTCACACTGCCCGCCATGCCCCCGAGGCGGAGTCCTGAGGGGGTTTGGTTCTTGTCCGATTCAGACCTTGGTGAGCAATGCATTCACGTCTCCTTAGGTGGGTGCAAACAGAATTACTGAGCATTGAAGGAGCCTTCTTTGTATAGCCCTGCTCTGTGGAATGCCGTAGCCAGTAAGAGTTTGGAATGGGCTGAGAGGCGGTGAGAGGCCAGGGTCCTCACACCACGATGGGTGTGAACTGCTTCCAGCCTGGAGTGCGGCCTGGCCCTGTTCCACTGGAAGCACACAGGTCAGCACCTCCCTCTTGTCAAGGCTGGCAAGCAGGTCGGGTTGCTGTGCTGACCCCCTGTGTGCAGTGGTCTGGGGCTGCAGGTCGGGTTGCTGTGCTGACCCCTGTGTGCAGTGGTTTGGGGCTGCAGGTCGGGTTGCTGTGCTGACCCCTGTGGGCAGTGGTCTGGGGGCTGCAGGTCAGGTTGCTGTGCTGATCTGTGGGCAGTGGTCTGGGGCTGCAGGTCAGGTTGCTGTGCTGACCCCTGTGGGCAGTGGTCTGGGGCTGCAGGTCAGGTTGCTGTGCTGACCCCTGTGGGCAGTTGTCTGGGGCTGCAGGTCAGGTTGCTGTGCTGACCCCCTGTGGCCATGGTCTGGGGCTGCAGGTCGGGTTGCTGTGCTGACCCCCTGTGGGCAGTGGTCTGGGGCTGCAGGTCGGGTTGCTGTGCTGACCCCTGTGGGCAGTTGTCTGGGGCTGCAGGGCAGGTTGCTGTGCTGACCCCCTGTGGCCATGGTCTGGGGCTGCAGGTCGGGTTGCTGTGCTGACCCCCTGTGTGCAGTGGTCTGGGGCTGCAGGTCGGGTTGCTGTGCTGATCTGTGGGCAGTGGTCTGGGGCTGCAGGTCGGGTTGCTGTGCTGATCTGTGGGCAGTGGTCTGGGGCTGCAGGTCGGGTTGCTGTGCTGATCTGTGGGCAGTGGTCTGGGGCTGCAGGTCGGGTTGCTGTGCTGATCTGTGGGCAGTGGTCTGGGGCTGCAGGTCGGGTTGCTGTGCTGATCTGTGGGCAGTGGTCTGGGGCTGCAGGTCGGGTTGCTGTGCTGACCCCCTGTGGGCAGTGGTCTGGGGCTGCAGGTCGGGTTGCTGTGCTGATCTGTGGGCAGTGGTCTGGGGCTGCAGGTCGGGTTGCTGTGCTGACCCCTGTGGGCAGTGGTCTGGGGCTGCAGGTCAGGTTGCTGTGCTGATCTGTGGGCAGTGGTCTGGGGCTGCAGGTCAGGTTGCTGTGCTGACCCCTGTGGGCAGTGGTCTGGGGCTGCAGGTCAGGTTGCTGTGCTGACCCCTGTGGGCAGTGGTCTGGGGCTGCAGGTCAGGTTGCTGTGCTGATCTGTGGGCAGTGGTCTGGGGCTGCAGGTCGGGTTGCTGTGCTGACCCCTGTGGGCAGTGGTCTGGGGCTGCAGGTCGGGTTGCTGTGCTGATCTGTGGGCAGTGGTCTGGGGCTGCAGGTCAGGTTGCTGTGCTGACCCCTGTGGGCAGTGGTCTGGGGCTGCAGGTCAGGTTGCTGTGCTGATCTGTGGGCAGTGGTCTGGGGCTGCAGGTCAGGTTGCTGTGCTGACCCCTGTGGGCAGTGGTCTGGGGCTGCAGGTCAGGTTGCTGTGCTGATCTGTGGGCCGTGGTCTGGGGCTGCAGGTCAGGTTGCTGTGCTGACCCCTGTGGGCCGTGGTCTGAGGCTGCAGGTCAGGTTGCTGTGCTGACCCCTGTGTGCAGTGGTCTGGGGCTGCAGGTCGGGTTGCTGTGCTGATCTGTGGGCAGTGGTCTGGGGCTGCAGGTCGGGTTGCTGTGCTGACCCCTGTGGGCAGTGGTCTGGGGCTGCAGGTCGGGTTGCTGTGCTGACCCCTGTGGGCAGTGGTCTGGGGCTGCAGGTCAGGTTGCTGTGCTGATCTGTGGGCAATGGTCTGGGGCTGCAGGTCGGGTTGCTGTGCTGATCTGTGGGCAGTGGTCTGGGGCTGCAGGTCGGGTTGCTGTGCTGACCCCCTGTATGCAATGGTCTGGGGCTGCAGGTCAGGTTGCTGTGCTGATCTGTGGGCAGTGGTCTGGGGCTGCAGGTCAGGTTGCTGTGCTGACCCCCTGTGGGCAGTGGTCTGGGGCTGCAGGTCAGGTTGCTGTGCTGACCCCCTGTGGGCAGTTGTCTGGGGCTGCAGGTCGGGGTGCTGTGCTGATCTGTGGGCAGTGGTCTGGGGCTGCAGGTCAGGTTGCTATGCTGATCTGTGTGCAGTGGTCTGGGGCTGCAGGTCGGGTTGCTGTGCTGATCTGTGGGCAGTGGTCTGGGGCTGCAGGTCAGGTTGCTGTGCTGACCCCCTGTGGGCAGTGGTCTGGGGCTGCAGGTCAGGTTGCTGTGCTGGCCCCCTGTGGGCCGTGGTCTGGGGCTGCAGGTCGGGTTGCTGTGCTGATCTCTGGGCAGTGGTCTGGGGCTGCAGGTCAGGTTGCTGTGCTGATCTGTCGGCCATGGTCTGGGGCTGCAGGTCAGGTTGCTGTGCTGACCCCTGTGGGCAGTTGTCTGGGGCTGCAGGTCGGGTTGCTGTGCTGATCTGTGGGCAGTGGTCTGGGGCTGCAGGTCGGGTTGCTGTGCTGATCTGTGGGCAGTGGTCTGGGGCTGCAGGTCAGGTTGCTGTGCTGACCCCTGTGGGCCGTGGTCTGGGGCTGCAGGTCGGTTGCTGTGCTGACCCCCTATGGGCCGTGGTCTGGGGCTGCAGGTGGGGTTGCTGTGCTGACCCCCTATGGGCCGTGGTCTGGGGCTGCAGGTGGGGTTGCTGTGCTGATCTGACGGCCGTGGTCTGGGGCTGCGCGTCGGGTTGCTGTGCTGACCCCCTGTGGGCCGTGGTCTGGGGCTGCACTGTCTTCATGGGCAGAACAGCATGCATACGTCTTGTGAGGAGGGATAAGGACCCTGTAAGGAGCTGCACACCTTATAACTTGACCGTTCTCTGCAGAAGGCTCTGACGCTGACTGCTGGCAGCAGCGGGGTTGTGACTCGTGAGCTCTGTCCTAGACACTGAGCTGGCCCGTGTCCAGAGGTGGTACTCATGGCATGCCATCTCTCTGTGACCGTTAGAGTGAGAGGTGCAGACCAGATGGGCGCCGGCCACCCAGGGCCAGGCTTCGCGGCCCCCGCACCCAGGCTCAGCAGTGGTCTCCGTGGGCCAGGTGAGAGGGAGGGAGGCAAGGACACAAGTCTTGGCCCAGAACTCCAGCAAGCCTCCCTTGGGAAATCCAGCATGTCACGGCAGCCCCCACCTCCCCTGTCCCCCACCGCCACCTGCCCAGGCTCCTCACCTAGGCGGGCTCCGCCCCAGAGTCTCTGCCCGGCAGCCACCGGGGGACCAGAGTTCAGCCCAGGGGAGCAACACTCCACCTGTGACACCATGCTCCACCGTGACACCCGTGACACACACGTGTCCCTGTTCCCATGACAAACGTGTGTCGCTGTCTCACCCGTGACACACACGTGTCCCTGTTCCCATGACGTGCGTGTGTCGCTGTCTCACCCGTGACACACACGTGTCCCTGTTCCCATGACGTGCGTGTGTCGCTGTCTCACCCGTGACATCCCGTGTCCCTGTTCCCATGACGTGCGTGTGTCACTGTCTCACCTGTGACACACACGTGTCCCTGTTCCCATGACGTGCGTGTGTCGCTGTCTCACCCGTGACACACACGTGTCCCTGTTCCCATGACGTGCGTGTGTCGCTGTCTCACCCGTGACATCCCGTGTCCCTGTTCCCATGATGTACATGTGTCGCTGTCTCACCTGTGACGTCCACGTGTCCCTGTTCCCATGACGTGCGTGTGTCGCTGTCTCACCCGTGACACACACGTGTCCCTGTTCCCATGACGTGCGTGTGTCGCTGTCTCACCCGTGACACACACGTGTCCCTGTTCCCATGACGTGCGTGTGTCGCTGTCTCACCCGTGACACACACGTGTCCCTGTTCCCATGACGTGCGTGTGTCGCTGTCTCACCCGTGACACACACGTGTCCCTGTTCCCATGACGTGCGTGTGTCGCTGTCTCACCCGTGACACACACGTGTCCCTGTTCCCATGACGTGCGTGTGTCGCTGTCTCACCCGTGACATCCCGTGTCCCTGTTCCCATGATGTACATGTGTCGCTGTCTCACCTGTGACGTCCACGTGTCCCTGTTCCCATGACGTGCGTGTGTCGCTGTCTCACCCGTGACACACACGTGTCCCTGTTCCCATGACGTACATGTGTC